GTAGGAACTCTTAAGGAAAAGTATGACAATTTGCACCTACACGGATTGACATTTGGTCAATGTATTCCTTATGAAGTTATTACATGATTTTATGTGAAACCTTACATGCAACTGTATTTATACTTTGTGGGAGTTTACATATGTGCACATCACATAAACTCTGATATAATTACTTATAACAAAGAAAATTGCTTAATAATGGCAATAAGCTATAAAAAACCATTGGATGTTATTTTAGTCTTACACCTATGCCTTTAGAGACATGCGAGAATCTCACATTAATAATAAAGATTTCAATTAAAAGCAAAAAGTCAATAATATAGGCAACAATAAAACTGCGAGCAACTTCCTTTTCCATACAAAAGACATCAACGCGCTGCGCAAGCGCATGCTAACTGATTAGCGATGCAATTTTTGCTTAAAAACTTCGTGCTCAATTCTCTTGATTACATTTTACGACCATATATAAATCGAAGATCTAAAATTTATTGGTAGTAAAAATTTTCATGGTTTTGTGTTTACATACAAAGTTGCAGCCGTATTCATTTGTAGGTATTAGATTGTATTCGAATTCTCGAGGCAAGTTTACTAGAGACAATTAGACTAGGAGCTTTTATTACAAAATTGTTGGACAATTTTGACCATTTTTGTTTGTGATTTAAATATTTTCGCAGTTATTGGTGATTTACATAAACACAAATGGGATTTTTATTCAACACAAAATTTTGTATTTCTTGTTAATGTTTTGCATGTTTTTTCGCGTTTGTTCTGACCTAAAGTTCTAACTTATTTGTTTACTTCTAATACATCCTATTTAGCTGAAAATAAAACTACATACTTAGTTGGAATAATAAAACGTGCAACAATCCTTAAGCTGGCAACACTCTCATCTTTAGTGTTGCCATAAAAGAAAACACATTTAAACTAATGCGTGCTAACGCCTGCTGGTCGTGAAAGAGCCTTAAGCTAGGAATTGGCAGCACGACGTGCCATTAGGCGGCTGCAGCCAGTGTCGCGCCCTAACGAGAGGACGCCATTGTGGTGATAACTAGGGATGGGATACATTAGTCGATGTTTTAGTCGTTAACAATCGATTTGTTTTTATTTTACTGACTATTGCAGACTTTTGTTAAACCATCTTCTGTTTTAAACCATCATTAACTTGTAATGTATTTTTTATTCTTTGCTAATGGAAAATCTATGACATTTTTTCAGTAAATATTTGAAAACCGAACACGACAATACAACAAAACGAAACGTAGAGAATGATCTTAATACATTTAAACCAGCTTAACATTGTAAGTACAACCTTTTAAGTAACGATCGGATTATGTTACGTGACGATTGATTTGGTATTAAACCAGTACTCAGCCGTCACTGAGAGACCCACGATGACTGAGAGTGTACATTCAGGTCAAACACAAATCACGAAGTCGGTGTATTATGACCAATTTTGCAACATCACTAAGGGAATGTTTGCTCGTCTGTCTGTTTATTTGACTGTTAGTGGGTAACAATGTATTGAAATGATATAAGAGTAGTTTTGTTTGTTATGAGCGGAATTGCATCGCACTTTTTAGTCTTATTAGGTTTTCTGTGCTGTTCTATTGTAGAACATAAAGTTGATTGGTTAGATGATCATGTATGTACCATTGTGGAACTGTGTTACTATACTTACAAAACTACGTATGAAATGTGAATTAAAAAGATTCGTTTCGCAGTTTTACTAATTTTTGTTTTATGGGATAAGTCGTTAATAAGCAGATGGGTCACCTGATGGTAAGCAAACGTCGCCGCCCTTGGACACCACAATGTGATACAAGTATGTAACCGGTCTATTGGGAATTGGGAATTTGAGGATTGTAGGGGATCCGCGGATTAAGGAGATTGGGGGGAAGGGTAATTGGGCCTCCGGTAACCTCACTCATACGACAAATGACAACGCAAGCGTTTATCGGTTTTCTGTGGAGCCGTGGTATTCAAGTAATTAGTCAAATTAGTAAATCAAGTAAGCTTACTATTCTAAATGTATTTTCTTACTAAAGTTATTGTGCTATCGTTCTGAATAGCACCTGATCTTAAAGTAACTAAAAGTTTGCTCTCTCATTATCTCCAAAACATTTCATATTTTTAGTTTATACTTATCTGAAGATTTTTATCGATTGAATATTTATGCAATATGTGCTTTAAGTGAGCACTTCACTACAGAAATGGACATAGATAAAGAATACAGATAGTTCGGGTGTAAGCAACGATTGCAACATCGCGTAATTTACATTGCGAGATGGCCGGAGGCTTACATAGTGCCTTGTATTACTCATTTCTATCCTTTCATTGTTAGAGTTATAAAAGATCTGCCAAAAGGTTAATTATAAGTACAGTTCTGTGTCCTTATAGTTAGTTTGACAGTTGCAGTGATGTTTGTCTTCATATTTCTTTGGAATGTTCTGGACATTTTCAAAGGTACTGTGCCACTAGGGTTAATTAAAATGGCAGGTTACTCACGTGAATATACTGATAAAAGCACTACTAGTTTCGAGCCACAGAGGAAATTTCCTCATGAGCAGCGTGCGCGGTCGCGGCAATGTCGCGCAGCCTACTGACTAGTCTTAGACAAGTCTACCCAAGTCTTAGCCTACTAGGGTTATTGTTTTCTATGTAATGAATGTACATAAAAATCTACAGGCAGATAGCACAAATAGTTGTTATATGCAGAAATGAAAATAAGTAGCTAAGTCTATCTGCTAAGTCAGTCGTGTTTCGTATAGTCATACAATGCTAAAGATTGAAATTATTCGAAAATATTTCGAAATTAAAATGACTCTTATTTTATGACTATTAATTTCATTTTTCTACCCTTACAGTATTCATTATAGTAAGTATGAATAAGATTGTTAATGATATTAATATCCTACTATAAAGTAACCAGCACACCACTAGCGCAGTGGACAATGATAAACAGTTTGATAGCGGGGTGTCGCACGATTTCGTGATTGGCTCACTGGGATGCGCACGTGCATGACTATCACCTTGTTGTGGATCACTATTCCTACTGTAGATCTGTTTTAATAATTGTTCTAATTATTGTAACAACGGCTAGAAGATTAAATTGTCTGACTATTAATAATAACATCTTACACTATACTTTTGTTGCAATTGTTTACTGTTGCATAATGATAAGTACTTGTGTTTATAGAAATAAGATATCCTCCTATAATAATTATTATAATATGTATAGAGCTCCTTTTGTCTGCGATAGGATTGTCGTAGTGCAAGCATCTAACTTTATAAGACCAATTTTACTTACTTAGGAATTTTTTTTTATTTATTTAATTATTATGAATAGATTTTATTTTATATTTTTAACTTTATTTTTAACATAACATAACGGGGATAAAAGGCGTGATGTTATGTATGTTATTTTTAACATCACGCCTTTTATCCCCGAAGGGGATCACTATTTAGATATGTTATGTGTCCCATGTAGTAGGGGGTGATAGCCCCATACCGGGGACATTTGCAGACTCCGTACTACTACTGAGATTTTTAAAAAACCCAGTAATACTTTGTCCGACCCTGGAATCGAACCCGAGACCCTTTGCCCGGCAGTTGCACTTGCGACCACTCGGCCAATGAGGCAGGCGAATGAATGCAAATATAGGGTAAACTTAAACATTGTAGCCTATACACGATAAGTCGGCACGTCAGCTGTGATAAGTGGCCGATAATGGCCGTTTTCAATTGCGACACTGGGCCACGATCTCGCCATCAAACGTGATTGGTCTAGCGTCGAGCATCCCCGTCGGCTTATTGGCTGTAGTTAATCTTGTTTTATGTGTAATATAGTTTAGATGTAGTGAAGTTATATTGATGATGGGGTCGTTGGTCGAGTGATTGTAAGTGCGTTTGTTGAGCAAGAGGTTTTGGGTTTGACTCCGGACTAGGATTGCAGCATTTCCGGTATTTTGAAAATTCCTCAGTAATACTAAGTAAATACGAATTTCGCTTAGTTTTGGCCATAAATTGGCAATTCTTTACCAGGAAGTCATTAATAAATCAAATTTTATATCGAATCTTAACTAGATTAAAAACAAGCCATTAGTTTAATACAAATAACGAACGAAAAGTGGTTCACTTTATTTGAAGCTTACACGGAATCGAACTCGTATATTTCGTAGGTATTCTGCATCTATGGTTAATAATCAAAACGACAAGGAAGATGACTGAAATATCTCAACTTTAAATTAAAACATGAGAATCGAATCTAGACCATCAACAACAGTGCGCAGTGATTACTAAGCTCGAACCGATATCCGGTTCGCACAAATAAACAATAATAAATAAATCATTTAAAAACGAAATCAATGTCACTCAATATTCCGCGGTACCTTTACAAAGCCGCAATAAATCATAAAACTGCTAATTTATGGAATTAATCTGGTATGAAATGTATCGACAAATATCTTTCATTGCAAAACAAACCCTAACCTATTTACCCAAACGTTGAAAACAGCTCAAATGTACAAAATTCCATTCCAATTTTACATAAACTAAAAAGGTCGTATATACAAACGAACTTCATTATACCTCTAGGTCCGAACTCGAACCATTCCAAATTCAAATAAGAATGAACGTAAATATGACATAAGCCGACGAAGAGAATTTCAAAAGTGGAACTAAAATATTCAAATATGTCGGTACTTACAAAAATCTTTGTTTATTTACTAAAGAGACAGACGAGACGCAGTTTAAAACTTAAAACACCACTTAATTCATAGATAAGAGGATTACGTCTATCAAGTTAAGATAACTTTAAATCAACATTAACTTGACATGCGCCATGCAAACAAAAAAATACTCAGATAATGATAATTTAACTACAGATACAGATTAAACTATTATTTAAATGAAAGATAACAAAGTATTCAATGCATATCAAAAGTAAATAAAAGTAATTCTACTTCTAAGACAGAAACTTTCTTACTCTATACTGTACTTACTGTTATCACGCAACAATTACGAAAGCTCCAGTTATCAACGATTATGTAAAAGAGGGCGCGCTCGCGCCTCCGTCCTGCCACTTTCCCTCCAGACTCCCGCCAAATCCTATCACGTCCCCAAGTCACTCAAAGTGCACTCAAACCTCCGTACAAAACAGTCAAACACAGTTAATAATACACCGGTAAAAAGTTTGTATGAAACAAATGTTTTTGATGTTCGTGTGTGTATGCGCGCGCCGGGTTGTGGCGGCGCGCGTCCGCTGCGTGACTCCGCCCGTGCCGTACTAGAGTGGCGAGCCACGAGAACCGGCCACGGCTACCGAGTTGAGGACAAGTCGCCGCCCGCCGGCCTGCCCGGCCTGGCTCGCCCGCTGCCCGCTTACACACATGAAAACTTACTATAATACCTCTGCCCGACCTATTCTTATTGCACGTTTTATCGCAGTGTCGACTTTTTGTAACGACTGGATTATGCGCCTCTAAAACCCTCAGAGTAGACTTTACGCTGACGCTAATATCAACTTTCGAATATAAACTCCGCCACACAGGGTTCTTTTATCGAATGATATAAATTTCACGTCAAGTACATAGGTACGGACGATAAAGATCGAACTGGAGTATAATTTCAAAAGATACATGTATAATGGAGCTAACAAATCGAGCTCGATGCATTGAGTTTCATCTGAAAGTTCAATAAGTAGTTAAGTAACTCCAACATCTAGAAGGCTGAACTTCAATAACCATTTGACGACTCAGATGTAAAAGAATATTTCTTGAGTAAAAAGGTCGATGCTACTAGCTGATACTACTGGTTTTAAAACATCTTTTAGTTCTGCGAAAGGCTCACATCGCGTGATGTAAGCACAGGGGAGAACCCTACGCTACGCGTCCGCCGACTTGCATGTAATTACTAACAGAAGGCGGTCTGCTTCTTTTCGGGGCCAGAGCGTGACTTATGGCCAACCCCTCCACCTTAAAAATGTCATTATAAGGTAATAAAGGGCACGTAACATTGAAAGTTCCTTGAAAACAAATCAACAAAGCTTATTGCTCGATATAAATCCACCTATCAAACTATGAATAATCGCTTTAGAATTATCTCGCCGATGCCGACGATGATAAAAATTAGCCATCAATATGTCATTTGAATTCTAATTAAGACACAAATAAAATATTAATCAATTTTCCGTAGCTAATAAATATTATAATGACTACGAGAATAGATGAGATTAAAAAATTGTGATATACATAATTTATGTAAATTAAGGCGAACGGAGTAATCATTGATAGCTCCACGCGCTTAGAAAAACGTATCTTCTTTATTGCAAATGGAAGAATGCAATAAATATAAAGACATAAATAAAGTATGAAGGCAGTGTTGTGGAGCGACTCCATGGGTCGGCTGCCCGACAATGCTTAATCAAAAGGCCGTATCTCATTCCGCGAGACCTTGCCGAGACTGGACGTTACGTTATTTCGATTTCATTTGCGACTTGCGTTCTCGTGCGCGTAGTTTTTTACAACTTGTTGCTGAACGCGCCCACAGGTCATGCCTTGATCCCGGAGCCTTTGTTATTCCCGGAGAAATATGAGGCGAAGTCGGCAGGTACCTACGAATAAATGGGATTCTTTTGGGTATATTGAAATATCTCCAGGCGATGCCGAGAAACGGGGAGATTAATTCTCAAATGATGAATGGTAAACGTAAATCTTGTTCGTAATTTACTCCTTGCTAGTTATCGCCTTTGTTTCGTATATTATTATTATAAATGGAGTACAATATTCTTGTAACAAGATATCCCTTTTATTGAGGAGTTGTTTAGGAAGAGTTCCATGTCATCGCTCATTGTTCTGTTGGTCCGTTACTCGGTTAGAATATCTTTTTATTTTCGTAAACAAGCGGGGGAGTATAGAATGGATTTGTTTTCTTTTTGTTACAAAAAGTAATTACTAGTCACGAATCTCGTGGCCAGCGAAGCGGGTGCGCGTCGAGATTAATTGAATTCTTAGGTGTGAAGAGATGGAGCCGCGAGGGGGCGGACGAGCTTCACACTTTTTAGATAACGAGATCTAAGATACGGGCGGCAGCGACATAATGTATGATCTACGCGATAATGTCCCACAGAATTGAGTTAAACGATGTGTTTCTTTTATTAAACTTGTTTTGTTTTGACTGACTTTTAAAATTGTGACGGAGTTTAAGGGCAACAACGGAACATAATGAGATGTTACCCACATCAAACGCTTCAGTAATTTTTTTAATAAATGAACAAATCATTAGGTATAATCATCTCTATAGCAAATGACAGAGACGAGACAAATACATCATTAAAGCTCCCAAACAAATCCATAACTTACGTGGACAATTTTGTTCGAAAGGTCGAAACCTTCAAGTTGCGGTCCGCTAACGTTTCTATGGTCCTAAGTTTGATCTCCAGTTCAAGCTACAGGTTAATTGGACTTTACTAATAGGAATCTCAGTTATTGCGGGAGATTAGAACTGTGTCTAATAAATTGCAACAAGCTTGTGCAGAACATATAGAAGTCATTGGAGACTGGAACAAGCCCCGTTATAGTCGATCTCTGCACACAATGATAGCGTCTACTGTTTGCTCTATACTTGTATGAACATTGAGATTTGAATCGGATATGGTTGAAGAACATGGTCATCATTAGTTTGGTATATGGTTGAGTTCATTGGGTGACATTTGACAGTGGTTAAAATGGATGTCGCAAATTTTATTTGTCTTAGAATCAATATGTATGTATTATAAACTGTGTTATTTATCTTCCAAAGAAAAGTCTGTCAATTTATAACCTAGGTTCACCTAAATTCTGAATCCTTTCAAAAGCTTCTTGAAGTACAAATTGGAACAAGGTGGATACAAAAATGAAGTTTTAAAAATAATTCAAAAACTAATTTTGTGAATTGGAGATTCATAATGCCTTTATAATACTTCAATATTTTCGGTAAATAGAAAAAAAAACAAAATTGACAAAAAACTATCACCGCTTTTAACTCAAACTGAACCTTCCATGTCCCGTTTAAAAGGTCCATCATCACTTCAATGTACGACGCCCGCGCATTCGATAGAATCGTAAAATATATACTTTATCACATATATTAAATGACGAGATTATAATTACATGCCAACGACTTGAGACGGACCGGTGTGATGTATGCTATATCTATTGCTTATAGATCGGATGTCGCATAAGAAAAGAGATTACATCTAGTACTAATAATATGGTGTAGAAGTTACATAATTTCGATTTCAGAATTAATTTTGATGATTTTATTTTATTCATAAAATGTATGTACAGAGAAAAACTGCGCAACATAATACTTGTGGCATCTATGCAACCATCAAAGTTTCAAATAGCGTATAAATCTATGTGGTATATAATCTATTGTTGTATATAAATAATATTCTAACCTTCTTAGACAAATGGCATCATTTAATTGCAAGACGAAGTCGATAAATGAATAGAAAAGTCAATGTTTTATTGGCTTCTTCCTCTATACTTATTACTACCGACCCGCCCTGGCTTCGCGCGGGTACTATATGCATGTATCATACATGTAAACCTTCCTGAGGAATCACTCTATTAAAAAAAACCGCATCAAAATCCGTTGCATAGTTTTACAGATCTAAGCATACATAGGGACAGACAGACGGTGGATAGCGATTTTGTTTAATACTATGTAGTGATACTCTTTGTTGGCTTGGCTGGTTTTATTTTACAATTTTGTACGTTTCGCTTTCATCTTACTTGCTTAACTAACAGATGAGTCCTAGACGCATTTTTATCATACTAAATAAACATCGCGGTCCCAGATGCTAATCTTTCACTTATCTGTACCAGTGACACTACACTTTTTATCCGCTAATGGTTCGCGTGGGTTCAGAAAGGATTAAAACGTCGATTATTGATGCCTGTCATTTCTCAAACGCCATGATAAATGTGATCAATCAGACGAAGCACGCCCGCTTTTTTGCGGTAGGAACGTAAAAAATTGAACTACATAGATAGATACTACACAAAATCCCGTAATGTTATAAATTGGTAAATGTTTTGTTTTTTTTGGTTAAAATAACGATAAATGGTGATATAATTGTTTTAAGTTTGCCAACAAATCAAACATTGTCAATGTTATGCTTTAATGAGCATCTGCATTTTCTTGTACTGTTTAATTAAGTGTGGGAGAGCCATGCTTCGGCACGAATGAGCCGGCTCGACCGGAGTGATACCACGGCCTCACAGAAAACCGACGTGAAGCAACGCTTGCGTTGTGTTTCGTCGTTTGAGTGAGGTTACTGGAGGCTCAATTACCCTCCCCTTCCACAATCTCCCCAATCCCTGAATCCCCAACGATCCTCGAACTCCTAATCTTCAAAAGGCCGGTAACGCACTTGTAACGCGTCTGGTGATCCAGGTGTCCTTGGGCGACGCCGATTGCTTACCATCAGGTGATCCGTCTGCTCGTTTACCGGCTTATGCAATAAAAAAAATTCAGTAACGACAGTCTAGATTTCAAGATAATCGTGGATCTCTGAGTTGCGAGTAAACCACGGAACACCAGCAATGACACGCAAGGTGTTCTTTTGCAACCTTTGGAGGCATGTGATGTTGGACTTCCTGGCTGTCGAACAAATCGACAGCCATATAACCGAATCAGTTTTAAGATAGCATTGAACACCAATAATTTGTTGTTAAAGCGATAAAGCAGCCTGCCTTCCGAGGAGTTAAAGCAAGCTTCTGAACCTCCAATAAATCTCGTCTCTTCTGGCTTTGTTGTTGGTCAAATGTAAATGTTTATAGCTGAAACTTGTTATGATGATATGCCGTATATCAAATTTGCCACTTGGCACCACACCAAACGATATTATTGTGTGCATTTCGTTAATGTTACTTCTTAGGAGATGATATCACAGCGAATTAAGCATGTTTTGCTTATGGTTACTATCAATCACTTCATTATTCCAAGACAGAGTGTACCTCTAATTTCGTGAAGTAAATACATCGTCTCATCTCATAACACAGGCACAAGCCCTCTGAACTAGTCAAACAGTAAATTAAATTGAGACTATTAACGCAAACCACAGTCTATATCAATTAATAACCGTTTGGTTCCATACAGTTCCTTGCCAAGTGTTGTGGTATGGGAACGTTGGCAAGAGCCTCCAGCGTCATGGGGGTCACCTTATGGCGATGATAAATCTAATCCGCAAACATGGCCGCACAAAATAGCACACTATTTCGAATTTC